TCCGCTCTCACTGAGTTAATCACATTAAATAGTGTATATCAGTACTGTTTTAGTGGAAGAGGACTTTTTTTGTAAAATGCGTTCGTTTTTGTTTCAAATCAATATGAGATTTGTCCAGCAGCTAAGAATAATATTCGCCGGTATTCGCTTTACTCTTTCCAAGTTAATCGATGTGAGTGAATCTACCGTCATGACTTTGTTGGGCACAGTTACGGAGCGGCGCTGAACATCGCCAGTTCTGATTTGGAAACCTAATAACTTCTTTTTTCTACCGAACATCAAAAAAAAAACTGTGTGGAAAACGATTTTCGATGCCAGAAGAAGGATTAGCGCGTTCAAAATATGTTTTTGAAGCTACCGCTTTCGGAGTGGCATTGGGGTGGTAAGAGCGAATATTGAAATGTGTTGATTACCTGTCTCATGAAGATTTATTAAAAAAAATAACACCGAAATACACCGTGTTTTCCTTGCTGGTTGCAATATTTTCGGAGCAGGCATTGCAGTGGAATAAACCTATAATATATATATGAGTAGGTATCGATACTTTGGATCCGATATTTTACAGTTATCTATCCTTTTTTCTTTCGATACAACTTCCAAGTAAAAGCACCGATACCTGCATGGTATCATTTTATCCCTAATGAAAAGTTTCTCGCAAGGCAAATACTACGTTGGAAGCTGAAATAACATTTTCGTAATTTAATTTTTTTTAATAAAGAAGCATCGTATTGTATTATTTATTGTAAGCACACAAATTTCGTTGAGGTTTAAAAGAAACTTATTTGTGATGGAGGGAAATCAGTTTGATGTGAACGTAACGAGCAACAGTTTGACAACCGCTAATGATTTGACAGTTTGAAGGTCACTTTTTAGTAAAACAGTGGTACTGCACATAACGCTCTCACGTTATCTCATTTGCTTCGCATTGCTTTCCAAAAGCTATTTGTTGAAAAAGCTTTGTTTAATGTAAAAAGTACGTTAACAGCAGACGCTGATTAAAAAAGTTGATATGCTCTAAGTTGTTAACAAATGACCGCGTAAATGTTTTTATTCCGAAGTCATCGCTAAAAATATATGTATGTACATATAAACGTATGTAAAGTAAGTAGAATAGCTGCACTTAACCAAAATTTTTATAAATATTTTATAAATTTGACGGTAAATATTTAGAGTTTTAAATACGCAGCTATAAATGCTGTAGTCATTTTGTAAATAAACTGAAAGATATACATACATAAGTATGTACAAAAATAAAGAGATGACAGGTAGCGCGCAATATGTAGCAATAAGATAATAAGAGGGCGCTTACGCCAACGGTTGCAGCGCAAACATGTCGCGCTGATACGATAATCTGCTAAAAATAAGTACAATAAAAAAGTCTTTCATAAATTAACAAAAAAAAGGCTTTTTTGTTTGTAATCATTGTGAGATTGAAAAAAATAAATTTCCACACATTTCACTGCCTTTCCGCGTTGCTGTCAAAAAATGCGATCTTAGTTGAACCTCAGCAGTCTGATTACACGCCTCGATATGATATTCAGTGCTGGCTTTTCACAATGTCGTCTCTTCATTTTGGGTAATTTATATACTTTACGCTAAATTAGATTTCAAATTTAGAGCAATATTAAGTTTCCTTTAACAGCAACCGTTTTGGTAGCACTCGCAGTGCTCGCGTTTATTGGCGGCACAACATTGGCTAGCGTAAGCAACGCTAATTCTGCTACGACAGCGTCACGTGCAGGTTGCGCCACCTCGGAAATGGGAAGTGCTGAAGGGCTCATTAGTAGCCTGTTTGCTACGATAAATTCAGCCAAGTGTGAACTGACCCGAGCTGATCAATGGCCGGCGGACTTTGCGGATCAAGTGCTCAAAAACGGTTTAGACGAGTATGACTTCATTATTGTAGGGGCAGGTACAGCGGGCTCAGTGGTTGCTAGTCGGCTTACCGAAAATCCGCGCATTAAAGTGCTGCTGCTCGAAGCAGGTGCTGATCCGCCGATAGAGTCGGAGGTGGGTATGTCACGAAGAAAATCTGTCATGAACACGGAAACTGAACAACCTGGTTATAATCTTTTACCAGCAATTTAATCTATTTTATTCTACTCTCTTCGCAGATCTTCACATTGAGCTCCAGGCTACATGGCAGCATATATGCATGGACTGACTATGCTGAACCCAACCCCAATTGCTGTCAGGGCATGCGGAGGGGTCGCTGCTATTGGCCGCGAGGCAAGATGATTGGCGGCTCTGGTTCGATGAGTGGAAATATTTTCTTGCTCGGCAATCAACAAGATTTTGATCGTTGGCAGCAGTTAGGATGCGAGGAATGGTCGTGGGATGAGATGCAGTTTTTCTACGAAAAGGCATCAATGAATGAGTCGTCTGTACAGCCAGTAGGCGAGTTAGTATTGAACTATTTTGAATCTCTAAAAGAGCACAATGAGCTTGCTCAGCTCATATTCAACGCCAGTCGCGAGCTGGGACTACCGTATATATCGGATTTGGCAAAGGGTACACGTGTTGGTTACACGAAGGCTATACCAGCGAACATTGCACGCGGCAGACGCATGAGCGTAGCAAAAACTTATTTGGGACAAGTAGCGAATTATCGCCACAACCTTAATGTTATTAAGAACGCCTTGGTTACAAAGATACTCTTCTCAGCAGACAAAAGCCAAGCTATTGGCGTTGAATTCTTGCTGAGTGGTCGCCATCGCTTGAGCGCGCTTGTGCGCAGTGAGGTACTTATGGCAGCTGGCGCCATTAACTCACCTCAGCTATTACTACTGTCCGGCATTGGACCACGTGAGCACCTAACCGAATTGGGTATACCTCCGCTTGCAGATTTGCCGGTTGGCTATAACCTGCAAGATCATGGCATGTTGCCTTTGTTATTAAGTTTTGAACGTGAAATTGAAACTTCACCTGGCCTCAGCGATCCACAAAGCATTTCTGATTACTTTTTGCACCAAACAGGTCCACTTGCTGCTGGCATCAGCATTATGGGTTTCATCAACACTAATGCTAGCAACAGTAGCTCATATCCAGACCTACATTTGGTCTCGCACACAATCATACCTCCAGGTGAAGCCAATAGCCTTCAATTCCTGCAGCTGCGCGATGAAATTGTCGCTGGTATTATGCGTGAAGCTAGCAATCGTAGCCTTTTGCAAATTTACGGTTCATTACTGCGTCCGCAATCGCGCGGCAGGGTGCTTCTGCGCTCAGCCGATCCTCAAGCACCTCCACGCATATACAACAACTATGCCAGCGAGCGCGCTGATCAGCTAACATTGTTGAGTTATGTACGCTTTGTGCAGCGTATGTGTGCCACTACGGCATTTAGACACTTTGGCTTGAAGTTGCTACATGTGCCTATTGAGGAATGCGATCTACTCGCATACGACTCGGATGCCTATTGGCTATGTTATGTGAAATTTTTGTATATTGGCGCTTGGCATCCGGTGGGTACGTGTCGGATGGGCGCCGACGCGAACCGTCATACTGTAGTAGATCAACGGCTTCGCGTGGGAGGTGTGAACGGGTTGCGCGTGGTGGATGCAAGTATAATGCCAGCAATAACGAGTGGTAACACCAATGGCCCAACAACGATTATCGCCGAAAAGGCAGCAACTATGATCGAAGAGGATTGGAATCAAGAGCTAGCGTGATTGTGGGTGGTGATGAGATTCTAAGAATTTAGTTAGGATACGAATAAAAGTATTAACAAGTAATTTTTAAGCAAACAACAAACCCGACTTCAATTATGATATAAACATATATCATATATCATATCGGATCTAAACCAGATTAGTATGGGACCACCTCTGAGACACTACCTTTCCGCAAAAAGAATTATCGAATCGGTGACGTGATCCAAAGTTATGCGGTTACATACATAAAAAAAAAATATCCCGACGATCTTATAAGCTTCTCTTTTTTAGGAAGTCAGTTAAAAACTATATTAGAAAACGTGTACATATCGTATTTAGTTTTGCCCCTATGAGTAATTGCTTTTTACCAATTTTATGTGCTGCATTTTATTTACAATATATTGTAGACATTTTAATCACTACTAATTTATTGATATTTGTAGAAGTATTTAGAAACAATAGACTACGGGCGTGATTCTAATCGCTATCTAATTTCAAATTATTTATCCAGGGATCCAGATTAAAGGGGCAATTCAGATTTTCTAAAATACTACAATGCCGCCCTAGTCATCTATATGTAATTTAGCTGGTAGGCGCTAGAAATATTGCTTTTGAATGTTTCTAGATGAAATACTTTTCGCCTTTACTCTCATGTTGTGCATCCACCCGTGGAATCCTCGGACTATGTCGCCAGAATTTATGCGATGTACGTAGATTAGTACACAACATTAGTCTTGGATGCCATTTAACGACGCCCAGATGAGTATTTGTATAGAAAAATCCGTCAAATAATTTTAGGTACCTTATTACGATTTATTAAAATAAAACACGATAAGAAAAATTATTAAATTAAAAATTACACATATGAACTAGACCTATTTTAAAAGAATGTTACCACTCTTCAGTTTCGCTTTAGATATTGCTAACAGTAGTCATCACATTTCAGT